GCTAGTTTGCAAAAGTCGTGGGTTTATTAAGGTTGTCAATTTGAGCAATTTTTCAAAATCTAATGCGCCAAGATTTTGGCCAACAACGCGTTAGTGGAGATTAAATTGAGGCTTGCTCTTAGGCCTGAATAAAATTGTTGCTGTAAGAAAAAGTCTCTCATTGTTTTTTAGATAGCATGTGAACATAACATACAATAGCGTGTTGATGGGATGGCTTATGGAGCAGAATCAGAAAAACAATAATATCCCGAGCTCGGATTCATTTTTTTCAAAAATGAGCATTTTTCTCAAGGTCTACGACATTTAGAAATTGCTAATTTGACCAACTTCAGATAATTTTTGCGCCATAAACTTCTTTCCAATAAAGCTTAATCGAAGATTTAAAACGGGTTAAAATAAGATTTAAAAAACTAAAATGAGGCCAACTATAACTTTTGTTCGCCTATTTAGTTTTTGCAAAAAACGAGAAATACCATTTTGTACTTTAGATAGCGTCTGAGGAGATGATAGCGTAGTGACGGGATGGCGTATGTGGAACGGAACCATTTTTTTTTCGCAGAATGGTATTTTGTCTGTGCTCGAACTCAATTTTTTTTCAGCTGTGATCATCTTGCTCAATTCCTGGAAGTATATATTTATATTGCCGAATGGGCCAATTTGGGATATTTACGCGTAATGAAAGTACTGCCAATGACACTTAAGCAGAGTGTCAGCTCATCTGAGAATTAGCTACAAATTGAAATTATGTTTTCGGTAATGAAAAATCTATCATTTTTTTTATTGTGCAGAGCTTGCAAGCAGATGAAATGTGTCGAGTGTATGATGAAATGTGTCAGAGTTTCAGCTCATCTGAGAATTAGTTACAAATTGAAATAGTTTTTGGTATACATATTTTCTGCTATATGAAAATTCTATCATTTTTTTTATTGTGCAGAGCTTGCAAGCAGATGAAATGTGTCGAGTGTATGCCGTATGCCAAATGGAGTTTTAAATTTATTAGAAGTTTAAAGTTTTCTTGTACTCGAGTTCAATTTTTCTTCAGCTGTGATTTTCCCCCCAAAGTCACGGAAACTTACATAAAGCCAAATGGGCCCGCTTGGGATATTTACGCGTAATAAAAGTACTGCTAATGACATTTAAGCGGAGTTTCAGCCCATCTGAGAATTAGTGCTAAATTGAATTGAGGCATTGTTTTTAACCTATGTAATTTCTGCTATATGAAAACTAAATCACTTTGTACTTTAGATAGCGTGTGGGCAGATGATAGCGTGTTGAACGGATGGGATATTGGGAGCGGATTTTTTTGTCAGAAATGTAATATTCTCTTGTGCCCGAATTCGAATTTTTTTTCAGCCGTGAGCTTTTTTCATGAAGTCATGGAGGGTACATTGCTGTCAATATGGCCGATTTGAGAAAATTATAACGCGCGTTTCCTTCTCAGCATTAACGCGTAAGCGTAGGCTCGTTTTGGCTCTAAAAAGTTCGAAAATGATTTGAGATATGCTTTGAAGCTGAAATTAAATTTTGCTCTTTCACAATTTATCACTTTGTTTTATATTATCTAAAATTATTTTTTCTATGCGCTCAAATTCAAAAAGATATTCATCCCTGACCATTATTGTAATATTAGGAAGCTTATATATTGCCAGTGTGGTCAATTTTGACAATTAACGCACAAAAATTTTCGGCTTAGAAATAATTCCAAATTCGGTTTAAGCATGCCTGTTTTATAAGCTGCTATATGCAGAATAAATCTTTTTGTACTTGAGATAGACGTGGAAGATGAGAACGTGTGGAATACTTGGACTACTTGGCGGGCAAAACTCTCATATTATCAGAAAAGTAAAAAAAAATTGCCTTGAGCCCAATTGCAAAATGTGTTTCAATTGCAATCAACTTTCATGAAATCATGGAGATATAACAATAGGAAACCCGGCAGTTTGGCATAACGCGCGATGTGTTTCTTAGCAATAAAGCGTAAGCGGGAATTTGGCTCAGTTGTAAGCTAGCTGCAAATTGAACTGAGGCATGTTTTGAAGCCTAGCTTAAACATTGCTATATGCAGAATTTATTAAGTTAAAATCGAGATAGCGTGTAGGGAGATGATAGCATCTAGAAATGTTAGCTAGCAGGGAAAAAAACTTTCAAATAACAGACAAATAATTTTGATTTGAGCTAAAGTTGAGAAAGATGTAGAATCCCTGATTGCTTTTGTAAGTGATTTTGAAACAAAACAAAATTGAAATAAGGCATATTTTTGGCCTGTATTAAAGCTATTTTAAGCAAAACTTATCACTTTATTCGTTCGATAGGGTTAGATAAAATGCAGTAGCGTTGAAGGTATGTATGTAGTTTAGGGAGGCAACATTTTTGTTTTATGAGAACAAAACTGTTGCCTTAACTCATGGATGTACACAGATTGCCGATTTGGTTGTTCTGTGATTAATAACGCGCCATGTTTTCCTGCCAAAAACGGGTGAACGGATAATTAAAACGGCTCAAAAATATCTCCAATTTGAATTAAGGTTTTCATTTTAGCCTAATTGAAAGTTTGCTATTTGCAAAATACGCCTAACTTTACTTTAATTTGCTCATAACGAGATGAGGGTCTGTTGAATGGTTGGTGTAAATGGCTTCAAAACGATCATTGTATCAGAAAAGTAATGTTGCCCTGAGCTCAAAAGCAAAGTTTATTTCAGTTGTGATTATTTTTGATAAAATCATGGAAGTATGCAGATTGGTCGCTTTCGGATTACTAATGCGTGATATATTTCTTAGCAACGACGCGTAAGCGGGTGTATGGTTTGGTTTCAAATTAGTTCCAAATTGAAATGACGCTTGCTTTCTGGCCTTATTTAAAATTCGCTATATGCGAACTTAATCTAATTGTAACTTTAGATAGCGTGTGGGCAGACATAAGAGTGTTAATTGTATGAGTTATGGGCGGCAGAATTTTTTAAAATTAAACGGTATTGTTTGTCTTTAGCTCAAAATCAGTAAAAAAAAATCTCTCTCTTATTCTTCTTACTAAACTCATGGGGTAGAAAAATTGTCAGTTTGATCAGTTTGCGATGAAAAACAGGACGTTTTTTGCTTGTTAGTAACGCGTCAGCACAGATTTAATCCAGCTTAGATACAGACCTTAATTGAAAGGAGGCTTTCTTTATCGTCTATTTTTAAGCTACTATATGCAAAATTTCTAATGTTCTTTTAGATAGCGTGTGGGGAGTTGATAGTATGTTGAAGTTAATGCGTGAATGGGGGTAGGAATTTTTTTTATCAGAAAAAAAAATGTTGCCCTGAGCTCAGACTCAAAAAAATTTCACCTGATCAAGAAGATCAATTTTTGCAAGGTCATGGGGGTATGAGGGTTGTCTTTTTAATCAATTTTCAACACTTAACGTGCGATGTTTTTTTTTTCAACGCGTTGGCGGAGATTTAATTGAATTGAGGATCGTTTTTTGGCTTAAACCAATATTTGGCATATGCGGAAAAGGTCTAGTTCTAAAAAGTCGGTCATCAGCCCATCACCGGCTAAAGAAACTACCATGAACGATGTGGGGACAGGAGAGGGCTTCAAGCAGCATATCAAACGAGGTGAGACGGAATCAATCAGGTCTTCGTTTACACCGAAGCCAAAGAAACCTCCGATTCTTCGGAAACCCGCTAAGGCATTCGGGCATCAGCATCAAGCAATCGGAGTACAAAGACTAAGGCCCAGAGTCAGAAACAGACAACGAGCCGCCGAGGAAGACGCTAAAAAAGCAAGTGGCACCTTTGATATAAGCTCTTCAAGAAAACAAGCAAAATACATGAAACTGATCGAAACTATTACCAAAACATTTGCCGGATCTTTGTTAGTTAGCATGATTGTCTTACTGAACAAGAATACTTTCATTTTGTGCAATAGCGTTAACTTTATAACTATTCTACATCTTTTCCTCCGTGTGCCACTTTAATCGAGGTTAGCCTTAAAGGTTATCTTCGATAAAATGTCTCCTAGTATGGGAGTTGTCATAAGGCGACCTTCGATCCCTTTTTCTGCGCTATTTTTTTCATGTGTTTCTTATCTGTCAGTTCATAGAGCTGTAAGTTTTCCAAGAACACATATTAACAGTCAAATTATACATCACCCAATTTCAGCATGAACTCAGTTGCCCAAGCCTAGAGTAATAAAATAAAGTCTGCTGTAATTTCTTTTTGTGATTTTCAAAAAATTTTCCAATTCTGATAACAATTTGTCATTAACATTCCTTCTCTGTTCTAATTCTATATTGAGATTTATCAATTTTCTATTTGAATGTTACGATTTTATCATTTTACCTTATTTAAATTTCACTATTTGATTTTCCGGTTTTTCGGTCGGCCGAAGAGTTTTTGTTTGTTCTAAATCTCAGGAGGGTTTTTGTTTGTTCTAAGGTACAAAATTCGTACACGGTAACAGCCGAGAAACTTACTTTTTGGTGTCAGAGGCATAAAAATTCTCTCTATACTTGTCCAAAAACATCTGTAAATACATGCGAAGACGAAACATGATAGAACTTTTTTCATTAGCTTATACTGACACTTAAGTGAAGGCCAAATATTCCTTTCATGGAACGCACAACAATCATCAGATGAGGTCAATTGATATATCATGAAGAAGCCTTTTCATTCATGTTGCAAAAATTCTTCCTGAAAAAAACTTCCGGAGACAAAAAAATGTTCCAAATCCTCCTTTTTTACCATTAGCTTAAGGCAATCTTCATTCTGCGCAAATAAAAAGAAAACAAATTTAAAACAACCTTCTAGATCTTTTTTTTAGATCATTTTTGAAGAAAAGTACAACAATGACGTCGACTTTTCTGAACTAACAGAAAGTTCAAGCTCGCCTGTACTTCTCAGGTATCGTATCAGTATGTATTAGAAAAATTGATCCACAAAATATCGCCCCTCTATATGCACTTTAAAGCCAGTTGAAAGCCATGAAACTTCTTATTTTGATGTTTTTTTTGCTGCAGCTGATGATGTTCGGATAGTGGTTGGTGATTTCACCGATGCGACATCAGCCAAAGAAAAGGTGTTAGTCGAGATCATATACTGGCCGGCGGACTTCCTGTTAGTATATTTGCCCTCTTTAAATATCACCCCCATAGCAGCCAGTAACGATTACCACCCCTATAAGGAACTAATTCGACGGTTGAGCATATGTGAAATATGTACGTAGTAACGAACCTCCCTCTCCCCCTAATGAAAAAGGAGAGGATAATGAAAGCGATCCAGGATATATTCTTCTTAAACCCACTCTAAAAAATTTTCATGAAAACATCCCTCTGAAAAGGCTGAAAAAGGTATTGTTTTTGTAAGCTCGCATTACTTCAAATAAATAAATATAGATGATTAGATATCGCAAATTTTGATTCCATTACGAACACAATTTTCGTTTGCCCTCAGAAATAGTTTGTGTTTCTGCTGCTGCTTCAAGATCTTCAATTCAGTACTAGATAGCACTGGTGTGTTGTAGGAAATCAGCTCTTAAATATTTAACCACTAAGTGGATTTTCTATACAAAAATCTGAAATTCTTTTTTTTCTTTCTTAGCTCTCAGATCTATTCGTTATTATTTAAGTCTTAGGTACAAATTTAAAAACTTCAGATGTGAGAATTGGATCTGATCTAAATTTTTGTCTACTTTTTTTAGGTTAGCGAACTAAATTTATTTTCCGAGTTCTACCAAAGCACTGAAAAGACCGACCCTAATTTAGCCGAATTTTCTGCGCAGCAGGCAAATGTTTTTGCGCCGCAGGCAATTTTTAGTTCCAAAGCACTAAAATGACCCTATTGTTTTGGAACAAAAATTGCGCCGCCGGCAAATTTGAAAAGACAGGCCAAAAACGGCATTATTAGGCATTTTTTGGCGCGCACTTCCCCCTCAAAATTTGTAAATATTGGCCCCAAAAGGGCCCTTAAAAATTCTAGGGTCCGTCAGCCAGAAATGGAACTCTCAAATTAAAACAAAAGGGGAAAGGGGGGCCCTTTGAGTCGGCAGAGGGTCGAATCCCTGAGGGGGGGGGGGGCGTTCACACTCCGCCCCTCCTTCTAAATCCGCTGGTGCTCATCTTACAACTAAATATTTCTGCTTCGCTAAAAATTCTGGCAAAACTGAGTTTTTTCATCAGCATGTCTTACAAGTTTTGACAAACATAATTCAGATCCCGCTCTTGTATAATAAAAACTCACGTCGAAAAAAGACAAGAAACAAATCGAATTATGATGTGAGCCGAATGATTCATATAGGTATGCACGAGTTGCAGTCGACAACGACATTGCGCTGATCAAAGTGTCCAATTACAGCTTTGAAAAAGAACGCATTTTGTCAGTCTGCGGTGGCTATGCTGACGAGTGTACCATAATGGGTGCATGTGGAACAGGAAGAACTAGCCACAACTCAGAAGCTCTATCTCCATTTTTGAAAGAAATTCTGCTCTACGAAAGACCTCCCGGACTTTGGGATTTTTCCTCGGATTGTTCTCCAGATAAAGTTTGCACACGACGAATATCGAGGGGTCGGGATGACAATCTATTCCACGGAGACAGCGGGGGACCACTTTATGTTTTCGGGGAATTTCCAGACAACAAACCGATTTGTGTCTATGGCGTGGCCAGTTTTTGCGGGAAATGGTCAGTAGATGTTCTTGGCTTCCATCTTTTCAACTGTTATTATGGTGGAAGCTATTTTGCAAACGTTCCCTATTTTGTGAACTGGATCGACGCTACCATTCGACATCATTATGTGCAGTACGATACTGAAATGACGGCGACCGATAGTTCAAGCGATTATTAACATTCTTTTTTCCAAAAAATCAAGATGTTAAAACCAAAATTGTTCCAAGTTTTGTAGAAAAAGATGGAATATTTGTGGTCAGGATGGTTTTTTCTCTACAAAGTTTTGCCTTCTAAGCTTGCCAGTTTTGACTGAGTTTTTTTCAAAATTAAATTATAGCACCAGAAAATCAAATTGAGCTCAAATTCGAAAATATAATTCATCTAAATTCATTTTTGTAGAGTTACAGAAGTATAAAGATTGCCAACATGGTCAATTTGCACTAAAAAACGCGCGATGAATTTCTTGCTAATAACGCGTATGCGGAGATTTAGTTCGTCCTGAAGTTAGTTCCAAACTGAATTGATACTTGATTTTCGGCCTCATTAATTCGTTGCTATATGCGAAAAATACCACTCTGTTCGTAAGATAGCGTGCGGGGAGTTGATATAGTGCTGACGGATGGCGTAAAGTAAAGGGCCAAATTTTTTTCAACAAGAGGGTAATCATGTCCTTAATTAAAATTCTAAAGTCTTTCTACCTGTGATCTATTTCATAAAGTCATGGAGATACAAAAATAGCCAATTCAGCATATTTGTGATAAACAACGCGCGATAAAACTCGTACCAGCAACGCGTAAGCCGAGATTTAATCTGGTTTAAAAACAGTTTCAAAATAAATTAAGGCAGAATTTTTAATCCTAACTTAATCTTAACTTCACGTGAAAAACTACTTTGAACTTCAAAAAGCTTGTGAGGAGATGAAAAAGTAGTGAAGGGATGGCGTATGGGGGACAGAAATAAATTTTATGCTTTTTTAGCAAAATAATATTGTTCTGATCTCAAACTCAAAGAGATTTAGATAGCGTGGAGAAGACGATGGAGTTTTGAAGGCATGACACATGGAGGGCGAAACTTTCATTTTTATGGAACGAGATGTTGTTTTGCGCTCGCAAAAAATCAATCAGTTATCATTTTTCATAAAATCATGGAGTAAAAAGATTGTCATTTTAGCCGAATTCCAATAATTAGCGCGCAATACGTTTCTTATCAAAAACGTGTGAGCGGAAAATTGGTCCAGCTTGGAATTAGCTCTAAACTGAAATGAGGCATACTTTTTAGCATATTTAAAATTTATGCCAAAAAGTATGCCAGCTTGCCATAACTAACGCGTGATGTTTATATAGCGTAACGCGTAATCGGAGATTTATTCGAGCTTAGAATTAGTTCTAAATTGAACTGAGACATTATTTTTAGCCTAATTAAAAGCCGCTATATGCAAAATATATCACGTTGTTTTTTAGATTGCGTAAGGGAGGATGATAGTGTATGAAGATTTTGCGTATATTGGGGCGGAAATTTTGAATTATCTAAAAATTAATGGTGCCCTAAATTTTTTTTAATCTCAGATGCTATTTTGCAAAAGTCGTGGGTTTATAAAGATTGTCAATTTTAGCAATTTTGTATAATCTAATGCGCCAAAATTTTTGACAACAACGCGTTAGTGGAGATTAAATGGAGGCTTGTTCTTAGGCCTGAACAAAATTGTTGCTGTAAGCAAAAGGTCTCTCATTGTTTTTTAGATAGCATGTGAACATACCATACGACAGCGTGTTGAAGACATGGCTTATGGAGCAGAATCAGAGAACTGAATTGAGGCATTGTTTCTATCCTATGTAATTTCTGCTATATGAAAACTAAATCACTTTGTACTTTAGATAGCGCGTGGGCAGATGATAGCGTGTTGAACGGATGGCATATTGCGAGCTGAATTTTTTCATCAGAAATCTAATATTGTCTTGAGCCCGAATTCAAAAATTTTTCAGCTGTGAGCTTTTTTCATGAAATCATGGAGGGTAAATTGCTGTCATTGTTGCCGATTTGAGAAAACTATAATGCGCGTTTTCTTCTCAGCATTAGCGTGTAAGCGGAGGCCCGTTTTGGCTTTAAAAAGTTCGAAAATGAGTTGAGATATGCTTTGAAGCTGAAATTAAATTTTTCTTTATCTTAATTTATCACTTTGTTTTATATTATCTAAAATTATCTTTGCTATGAGCTCAAATTCAAAAAGATATTCAATCCCTGACCATTATTGTAACATTAGGAGGCTTATATGTTGCCAGTGTGGCCAATTTTGACAATTAATGCACAGTAATTTTCGGCTTAGAAATAATTCCAAATTCGATTTAGGCATGCCTGTTTAAAAGCTGCTATATGCAAAATAAATCCTTTTATACTTGAGATAGAAGCAGAAGATAAGAGCGTGTGTAATACGTGGACTACTTGGCGGGCAAAACTCTCATAGTATCAGAAAAGTAAAAAACTGTAAGGCTTTCATTTTAGCCTAATTGAAAGTTTGCTTTTTGCAAAATATATCTAACTTTACTTTAAATTGCTCATAACGAGATGAGAGTCTGTTGAATGGTTGGTGTAAATGGCTTCAAAACGATCATTGTATCAGAGAAGTTAGGTTGCCCTGAGCTCAAAAGCAAAGTTTATTTCAGTTGTGATTTTTTTTTATAAATCACAGATTGGCCGCTTTAGGATTACTAATGCGTGATATATTTCTTAGCAATGACGCGTAAGCGGGTATATAGTTTGTTTTCAAATTACTTCCAAGTTTAATTGACGCTTGCTTTTTGGCCTTATTTAATTTTCGCTATATGCGAACTTAATCTAGTTGTAACTTTAGATAGGGTGTGGGCAGACAAAAGAGTGTTAATTGTATGAGTTATGGGCGGCATAACTTTTTAAAATTAAACGGTATTGTTGTCTTGAGCTCAAAATCAGTAACAAATCTTTCTGTTATTCTTTTTACTAAACTCATGGGGTAGAAAAATTGTCAGTTTGATCAGTTTGCGATGAAAAACAGGACGTTTTTTGCTTGTTAGTAACGCGTCAGCAGAGATTTAATCCAGCTTAGATACAGACCTTAATTGAAAGGAGGCTTTCTTTATCGTCTATTTTTAAGCTACTATATGCAAAATTTCTAACCCTCTTTTAGATAGCGTGTGGGGAGTTGATAGTATGTTGAAGTTAATGCGTGAATGGGGGCGGAGTTTTTTATCAGAAACAAAAATGTTGCCCTGAGCTCAGACTCAAAAAAACTTCACCTTATCATAAAGATCATTTTTTGCAAGGTCATGGGGGTATGCGGGTTGTCTTTTTGCTCAATTTTCAACACTTAACGCGCGATGTTTTTAGCTTTCAACGCGTTAGCGGAGATTTAATTGAACTGAGGATTGCTTTTTGGCTTAAACCAATATTTGGCATATGCGGAAAGGGTCTCTTTCTAATTTAGGTAGCACGTGAACAGATGATAGTATGTTGATGGGATGGTATAATGAGAGAGGAACTTTTTGATCAGAAGTGAAATAACATTCTGTAATTGAATTCAAAATTTGTTTTGGCATTGATTTTTTTTATAAAGTCATTGAGGTGTACATGTCGTCAATTTGGCCAATTTGAAAAAATTAGGGCGCTTTTTTTCTCAGAAATAACGCGTAAGCAGAGGTGCGATTCGGTTCTAAATTAGTTCAAAAGTGGAAATTCAATTTTGCCATGTGCCAATTTTATCACTTTGTTTTTTATTATCAAAAACAAACTTTTGTCTCGAGCTCAATTTAAAAAGAAAAAATTTAATCGCTGATCATTTTTGTAAAACTAGTGTTCTATTTGTTGCCAATACGGTCAATTTTGACTATTGACGCACAAAAAATTCTGGCTCAGAAATATTTCCAAATTGAGTTGAGGCATGCTTGTTGGACTCCTCAAAAGCTGCTATAGTAAATCACTTTGTACTTTACATAGACGTGTGGAGATGAGAGCGCGGTGTTTGATTGCGTGGCGTATTTGGCGGGCAAAACTTTTGTAGTATCAGTAAAAGGAATTTGCCTTGAGCTCAAATGCAAAAAATGTTTCGGCTGCCATTTTTTTTTCATGAAATCATGGAAGTTTACAGACTAGCAATTTAACAAATTTGGCATAGCTAACGCGCGATATATTTCATGGAACTTTCTTTCAGCTGAACCAAATCTTCGCTTGGGCTTTAAGCCTAGTTAAATTTTTTGTTCTTTGCAAAATTTATCATTTTCTTTTTTAGGTAGCGTGCAAGGAATTGATAGCGTGTAGAAACGATAGCGTTTGGGGGGAAAATGTTCCAAACTATCAGGCAAATTATGCTGACTTAATTGATTTGAGGATTGCTTTTTGGTTTAAACCCTTATTTGACATAAGCGGTCTCTTTCTAATTTAGGTAGCACGTGAACAGACGATAGTATGTTGAAGGGATGGTATACTGAGCGAGGAACTTTTTGATCAGAAGTGTAATAATATTCTGTAATCGAATCCAAAATTTGTTTTGGCATTGATTTGGAATTGAGTGTTGAAGACATGACTTATGGAGGAAATAACTTGTCTTTTATTGGGCAAGTAAGGCTGCAGTGAGCTCAGAATTGAAAAAAATTCTATTCCGATATCGTTTTTCATAAAATCTTGGAGTAAAAAGATAGTCAATTTGGCCAAATTGCTATAAAAAACGCTAAACTTTTTTCGGTATGAGAAGAATACTGTTGACTGAAGATATAGAGGTATACAAAGTTTAATTTGGTCGTTCTGGGGACATTAACCCGCAATTTTTTTCCTACCGAAAAGGGGTAAGCGATTTTTGAAACGGCTCAAAAATATCTCCAAATTGAAATGGAAGCTCTCTTTTTAGCCTAATTGAAAGTCTGCTATGTGCAAAATGTATCCAAGTGTACTTTTTATAACAAGATGAGAGTCTGTTGAGTGGTTGGGGTGAATGGGTTGGAAAAATTTTCATAGTATTAGAAAATTAAATTCGCCTTGAGCTCAAATGCAAAATATTTTTCAGCTGTGAATATTTTTCGTAAAATCATGGAAGCATACAGATGGGCCGATTTAAAATTACTAAAGCTTGCTATATTTTTTTTGCAATGACGTCTATGCGAGGATATGATTTGGCTTCAAAATAATTCCAGATTTAAATGACGCTTGCTTTTTGGCCTAATTTAAACTTTGCTATATGCGAATTTAAATTAGTTGTAACTTTAGATAGCGTGTAAGCAGACAAAAGAAGGGTGATTGTATGAATTGGGGGTCAGAATTTAGTTTTTGATTGAAAGGATTTGTT